GGGCCAGAGGCCATGAGAACCTTCCCAGTTCCCCTGAATAGCTGCTGCAAACAGGACAGTGCTGGGTTAACAGTGCAGTTGTCTCTTACCATTGCAATCCCCTCAACCCTCTTCTTACTTAGAGGAGAGCCCTAGCACGTGTCGAGTGGCCACAGAGGAGATGCAACTCTGGACCAGATGCCCTTGGTGGCCTCAGACTTGCCCTTCCTCTGTGCGTTGCCCAGGCAGAGGCAGTGTGGAGTCAGGGATGGCACTGGCGAATCCTCCTTTAGGCCCCACTTTGATTTGAACAGAAATGATAGAAGTGAGGTTGGCTCGACTGCCAGCGTTGATTTAGTGCAGGCTGTGGCCCCAGGGCATGCCTGACCCCACAGGGCTGGCCTGGTTGGGAACATTTCTTGCTGTTATACCATAAGCTGGCCCCTGAGATGCCGTTTTACTCCCATGGGGTGGAGGAGCCTTCCAAGCAGCTTGGACTCAGCTGGCTGTGTCAGGCCTCCCATGCCCAACCCACGGGCCTGTTGTATGTGCAGGAGAGCGAGCCAGAGGCGTGGCCCACCTGCTGCATCTCTACAGTGGCCTATTGTGATCTCTCAGATGCTGTGTTTAGAGCCAAGGGGTGGACAGGCATGCATTGTCTTGTGTAGGGAAGACATTGTCTCTGCAGAGCTGACAGTCTTGGTGGGGGAGACAAGTTTATAAGCAAGCAATGCCAGTGCTATGTCCTGAGAGCTCGGAGAGGTGCCTGGATGCCAGGACAGCATGAGGGGCCAGTGACTTGGGGTGGGCTTGGTAGACACAGGCAGGGGCTGTACTGGGCTCAGGAACAGTGGCCATCCGCTGGGGGCTGACTCAAGCTAGGGAGAGGAGTGAGTCAGCAAGAGGGAACAGGACCACGGGGCAGAGCCAGGTCACTGCAAGGCCTGGAGCTGGGGGCTCAGCTGGAACATTTGACGTTGGCCTTGAGATTTGTGGAGCCCATGCGTGTTTGGACCCAGGGAGGGAGACAGACACATCTCCCTAAACTGTGAGCTCTGACTAGAGAGGCCACATGTTCTAATACCTGCTGTTTCTAGTACCTGACATAATGCTTGTCACATGGGGGTGCTGACGCGTAGAGCCACCCTGCATGGCTGCCAGGCTTGTGGTCCCGGCAGCAGCCTGGCAGTTCAGCTGTTGCCACCAGGTAGCACTCAGCCTCCACCTTAGGGCACAGTCATGTCTCAGCTGAGCCGAGGGCTGGTCCCACCTGGGGACTTGGCTGTGGAAGGCACAGGAATGCCCCCTCTCTCTTTCTGAGCTCACCCAGTATGCTCCTCTGCTGCACCTGCCTTGAGTGGTGGGCTCCTCACCACATGCACACCTGTGCTTACAGAGCATAGGCCAGATGGGTGCAGGTGGAGCATGCATGGATGAATGGGTGGGTGGACAGGCAGGTGGAAGAAAGGAAAGGTGGTAGGAATGAACCTAGGGAGGCTAAGAACTGGGCCCCAAGTCACAGTGTGAGGAGGCAGAGCCCAGGGCCCACCCTGCCCTTCCTAGTCCTAGTTTCCCCCATGTCATTTCTAAGGGCTCTGCCTTCTCTGGGCATCGGGTAAAGAAAGTCCACCCGGTTTATGGATGTAGTGGATGCCAGTACAGATGGGTGCTCTCTCCATGACACCAGGTACCTCTCACTTGAGGTGGAGGCCAGGCTACGGGAATCTACATTCTGACCCGCTATTGGACCTGGTGCGTGCTCCGCGCTAAGGAGGGCAAGGTCAGGGCTTGGGTCCTAGCCTGGACACAGTGGCTTTGCACAGACCTCATTCACCTCTGCTTAGCCAAGCCAGGCTCAGTCTGCTGTGCCGTTTGGGGCAAAGGTGGTGACCCTGCTCTCCCATGCCCAGAAGCTAGAGGAGGCTTCCCAACCACATCAGCCAGGATCACTGATCACGTGAATACCCTGTCGCCCCTGGGCGGGGTCTTCAGTGCCCTGCCTGCTCATGTACCTATAGATTTTACAAAAGTGTCATCTCTTCCTGTTTCTTAGTTTTGTCTTCTTTCCCTGCTGGCTCCTCCCTTGACCTTTCAACTTTCTAATACGCAGAAGTGTTTCCTTGACCTTAAGTTACTACAAAGGGGAAAACATCACCCCAGAATGATGGGCCAGTCACCAGGCACCCTTGTCCCAGGTGGGAGCCGATGATACTCATTTCTGTCCACCAGCCTGGGTGTTTCCATGGCAACATTCCCCTGGCGCTTGCCGTCCTTGGGTATGAGGCCAGCCCAGGTGCCGTGGTGCTGAGCTTCCTGCCCCCACCTGTGCTTTCTGCACCTGCTGCGCAGAGGATGCTGAGGCCTGGGAAGGGGCTGTGCTAGGCCAAGGCCATGCTCTTGCTCCTGTCCCCATGCCCTGCTCAGGGATGGCTCCCAGGGGATGGCTCCCAGGAGGTGCTGAGTCCCGGCGAGGGGCAGTGGCCTGTGGCCTCAGTAGGGCCAGAAGGGGCCATGTGTGCTGCTGGGCTGCCTCTCACTAGCCAGGTGTCTGCAGACTATGACCCCCGACCAAATCAGCCTGCTGTTCATTTCTGTATAGCCCATAAACTAAGAATTGTTTTTATGTTTAAGGGGGTTGAAGAATATTTTGGAACACATGAAAATTCTTTGACATTCTGATTTATCTTTCTGTGAGTGGGCACGCGGCCACGTATTTGCTCCCATTCTCTGTGGCTGCTTTCTTGCTGCAAATGCAGGACTTTAGTCAGGACATAGGCTGTGGGTCTCACAGGAGCATCAGTCCTCACCCTCTACTGCGTCCTTCCTGGCCTTGAGACTCCGCTGGGTGCTGAGGGTGGTTAAGATGCTCATCCAGCCCATAAAGCCCCAGAAAACAATCGTTGGTCCACCCGCTGTCAGAGGGGCTCCCGGTGTGGGTGGATGCATTTCACACACTGGATTATCTCGCCCAGACTGTTAAAATTGGATGAAGTAACAGTCCCTTTCAACCCTGAAAGTCTGTGATTCAGCTCAAGTTACAGGATGTCTCTTCATCCTCTGGGGTTTCTATAAGGTTCTAAGAAAACCTGTGAAGAGCCTCGGGAACCTGTGCTCAATGCCTCCTCCCCTACCCCAGGCCCCAGGCAGGGCTGCCACCTCCCTCTCTCCTGGCCTGAGTGGGTGGCCTTTCTCTCCCTCCCTCTTTCTGAGGAAGCACAGAGGGGAGGGCCGAGGGAGCCTCTGCAAACCCAGCAGCGCCTTGCTGGCGGCTTCTGCCATCACTCTGAGATGCCCATGTGTCCCTGTCTAAGTCCAAGGGGAGGACAGGCCCTGCGTGTAGAGCTGGGTGACAGGCACTAGGCTGGCTTGCAGGTTCTGCATCCAAAGTTGGTGACATTTGGGCCTGAGGGAGGGGCCCTGCCAGTGGTCCGCTGCTCAGCTGCTCTGCGCCACAAGCGCGTGGGGCCTCCTGGGGTGCTTGGTGGGAGCCACACCCTGGGCCTGCGTGCCCGCGCACTGTGGGTTCTGGGGCTGGCTCGGTCGCCAGCAGTGTTCCCTTGAGGGCCCTGAGGGCTCTGGCACTGCCCTTTCTCCCTCCTCTGCCTGACGACAGCCCCTTTTCCTCTCAGGGAGCTGGTGGCCCCAGGGACTCCCAGAGATGTTTATCCTGGCCAGGGAGGGAGGATCGCTTGTGGGCAAGGAAGTTACACTGTGATTATGCCACTGTACTCCAGCCTGGAGGACAGAGTGAGACTCTGGCTCTTAAGAAAAAAGTTCCCAGTGGCCAAAGCTGGAATACGCAACAAAACGAAGTAATATCAGATTATAACCCAAAGTACGAAATAAAATCTGTAAGTCAGCACTGATACCAATAAGTGGTTTAAGAAATAAATGGAAGAAAAGAGACAAATCTCTGGTATGGAAGAATTCCAAATACCATCTGTAGAGTGTGACCTCTAACCCCCGCCCCGCGCACTGGGAGAGGGAATAAGAAGCAGCTTTGCAGGGAGAGCCCAGCAGGGCCAGTGGGTGTCCAGGGCGGCCAGGGGAGTGTAGGCGCCTCACTTTTGTTCTCCTCCCAGGCCCATGTCCCGTGTAACCAGGAGTAAACGTCATATGAACCTAGTGCAGGGACATTCCACAGAGCACCTCATCCACCCTCCTGAAACTCAGCAGGGCCATGAAAAGCAAGGGGAGTCTGAGGAACTGTCACAGCCACGACCAAATGCCACGTGGGGTCCCAGGTGGGGCCCTGGGGCAGGAAACACCCCTCTGGTCAAACTGAGGACGTGTGGAGGGGTGCGGATGCCAGTTGATAACAGTGCCTGGCATGGGGCCCAGACTGTGCAGACATGCCACACTTGTGGGCAGCCTGATAGGGCTCGTGGGACTCTGCTGTCCTTGCTATCTTTCTGCAAATCTAGAGCCATTCTGGAGTTATGTCGTGATCCTGCTTCCCTGGCTCATGGGCCATCCTCTTACAGACTCGAGGACAGAGGGATGACAGGCTTCTTGGAGCTGTGGTGCTGGGTGGGCTGGGCCCAGTACATGTTGTTTCCCAGCAGAGGGTGGGGAAACTGAGGCACACTCCACAAAGACGTTTGTCACAATTTGTTCTTACGATTGGTCTTTAATCCCCAAGTGTGCAGTGGACCTGCAGCCTCCCAGGGGCATGTTGGGAATATGCAGGGTGGGGCGTGTTGGGAGGGGGCCAGCAGGGGCTGTGCCAGGGTGGTGCCATTTGCTCCCCAGGAGCTCCTCAAGTTGAGTTACAGCGCGATCCCTGTGGTGTCAGGGAGCAGAGCCCAGGAAGTGCAGGGCCTGCCTGAGCCCTGAGGTGAGCAGGAGGGGCTGAGATCACCAGCTCCATGGTTCAGAACACTGGCCCCCTACCTAGAATTTCTTGGTTCTCACACTCAGGGTCCAGGTGTCGAACGCATCTCTAGTTTGTTTCTTACTCACAGAAGCCTTGTGGGTTTGGTCCCAGGTATGGTGACCCCTGTGCCATGTGTGTCCTGCAGGGTGACTATGACCGGAGCAGGACCAAAGTGGTGCATATGAGCCTGAACCCTGCCAGCGTGGCCAGGCAGCGCCTGCGCGAGGACCGGGACCAGCTGCAGGCGGAGTGTGAGCGGCTGCGAGGGCTGGTGCGTGCCCTGGAGAGGGGAGGACCTGTCCCAGCTGACCTCGAGGCCGCCACATGTCTGCCGTCATCCAAGGAGGTGGCAGGTAAGCCCCTGTCCCCATCCAACATGCAGCAGGCAGGTCAGTTGCATGGCCTGCTGGGGTGGACTCAGTGTCCGCCTGTCTGTGCTTCATGGGGAGGCAGTATGGTCACCACGCCTTAGAGGGTCTGCGCTCCCTCGCAGGCAGCCCGCCTTGTGGATGGCGGGGACCTAGCATCCTGGCCCCCGGGGCTACAGAGAGGCACCGTTTCCCTTCGGGGCTGTGCAGACAGGTTTAGTCTTCTGAGTCTGCAGGTAGCCGAAATAACGCAGGCAGCGGTGGAGAAACAAGCAGCTGAAATCTTCTCAGACCCCCTAAAATAAATTAGTATCATTTATCAGTTTATATGTGGCCCATTAATCATGAGTAAATCCAATACTCCATGAAAACGGGCCATCTTTCACTGGTCTAAGCACACCTCACAAACCCAGATAGCCCTTTGCAGCGTCCCGGGGGGAGAAAGGCCAGGCCGGGAGTCGGCGCCCCTTGGCTGTGCCCTCCAGGTCTGTAAATCACAGCAATGGCCTTCGGATGTGTGGCCTGTCCCCTCTGATGTAGCAAAGTGACACTGGGGTCTGCTCACTCCAAGCCTCAGGGAGTGTGACGGCCACCAAGTCCTACCCTGGCTGTGCTTACTCTGCAGCTGCAGGGACAGGCAGATCCGTCATGCAGAGGAGCAGGCTCTCGTGGGAGCCCAGAGCTGCTGTGCAGAGTCTGGATGCCCACAGTGCACTGCCCCACGCCCTGGGCCTTGGGTCCTTCCACACAGCCTGGAGCACAGCCCTGTCCCGCTCTTGTGTATGGCGACACTCTTGCTACCTCAACCTGGGAGTGTTTGCAGGGTCATCTGGGGGGCGCTGTGGGCTGCTGTTCTCTTGACACATGCGTCTTGATTTTGTTTCTGGGCATCTTTCTGTCTGACAAAGCCCTTTCTCATTTCCTTTCTGTGTGTTTGTCACCGCAGCCGGTGAAGGCTGGGGGTATTCCCTGGAGAGTGGAGCTGGAAAGGCTGGACCTTCCCACAGCGCCCACCCCACTGACATGTGGGGCAGGTTCTCCTGGTTGTCCCTTTGTCAGAGGGTCTTAGGTGGGGCCCTCCCTCTCACATCTCCATAGACCTTTGAAGACCACACGAGGGCAGCATCCCAAAGCCCCGAGGCATAAGGCCTGGCGCATGGCAAAGCCTCGGCGCCTGGCGTGGTTGTGAGGTCAAGGGCTCTGGGGTTAGCCATCCCGCGTGGAGTGGCCAGCTGTGCCCTTACTCAAGGGGTGACCTCGAAGCTTCAGTGTCTCAGCTGTCGAGTTGAGGCCATAACAGTACTACAGGGGTGGTGCCGCCAAGCCCCAGCATGGTGGCTGGACACTCTGGGCACTGAGAAATGATGGGATTTTGTCCTCAGTCTTGTTGCTGGTTCCTGTGAGTGTCGTTAGCATGAGGTGGTCTCTGGGCACTGCTCCCAGCCTTAGCATCCACTTGCAGCAGGTCTCTGATATGTCAGTGTCCTTTGTCCTAGGGTTCGCCTGTGACCGATGGGGTATGGAGTCAATGGGACTCTATGCCCCTCAGCATTTTATGGGACAGCATTTGCTTGCATGGTCCTCTCTCTATCTGACCCCATATTCAGCTCATGAGCAGTGAGCATGGGATGTGCATGCCATGCACACCCTTACACATGCACACCCTTTACTCCTCACGCTTCTCCCCTCTAGGTTTTCAGAATTAATTTTTGGGACCTCTTAGCAGGGACTTGTGCTGACCCTTAATAAATCTCATGCCATTTTCTGTAGATGGGAACATCAAGGCACATTAAGAAATCTGACAGAACCAGGCCTGGAAGGACCTTACTTCTTAGGCTATTCCCTCTTCCCTGGGTGGAGCAGAGACTGGTGATGCAGAGCAAGGTAGCAAGGCCCACCAGAGCTCAGCCCTCACACCAGGCTCCTGGGGCCATCACATTCTACTCACTGTGCAAGTGGTTCTTGGGCTTCTCAGTTCTCATCAGCCTCAGCTGCATGGGCCACAGGCAGCCGCTGGGGCATCCTGGACACTGGCTTGTTAGCATGGACAGACCTCCCGATAACCTTCCCTGGGGCTGCATGAGGAGGCCTCTCCTGCCAGCCCGATGGATTGTGTCAGCTTCTCTGTGTACTGTCTCGGGGACTCCACACTCAGGTCCCAGCTGCACACTCAGGTCCCGCAGGCTATATGAGCGGGGATATGTCCTGCCAGTGGGGTGTGGCTCTGTGGCCAGCTAGCCAGATGTCCGCCCTCTTCCCCGGTAGCCCAGGTGGGAAATAAAAGCCAAGAGTAGAGGCAGGCCTCTCTCGCATGACCTCTGGGTGAGTTGGGGGCAGTCTGGGCTTCCTCCCAGCTCTCCCCCACTACAGGGGCTGCCTCTGGGTCTCCATGGGGGCTGTGAAGGCCCGAGTCCCTGTGTCCTCCAGCCCTTCTGGCCACGGCTTCTCCTGCCTGTGTGTCCTGGCAAATTTGAGAGCTGAAAATGCAAACTTGGAGCATTTGCAAAACGATTCTTGGAAGGGTCCTTTACCAACATCTAGTGTAATAGATCAGTCCCTTGACTGTTTGCTCATTTATTTGTTTATTCATCCATCCTGTCGCCCAGGCTCTGTGCTCTATTATGGGCACATGGGCACTCGGAGTATGGCTGTGACAGGTGTTTATGGCTGGAAAAGGTGCTTCTGCATCACACTGGAGGGGACAGGAGAGGCTTTCAGATCTGGCCTGAGAGAAGAAGTCAGGGCCAAGGTTGCCTGGAAAACGGAAGGGGCATGTTCACCGAGGCTTAAGCCAGTCAGGGGCCGAGCCACAGCAGAGACCAGTAGGGGGTGAAGTGGATGGGAAGTGTCTGGATCAAGGTCCTGATTGGACTCGGGGTCTGCACTCTCCTATCCCAGACCCCCAGAAGTCACAGAGAGAGACTGCAACAGCAGACTTGGAATCTGGAAAGTAGGTGACTGAGTGGACTCGGCAAACAGAACTCTGAGCTGCAGTGAGTGAAGCTAGACAGGTCTGGTTCACACGTCAGCTCTCCCAGGAGCTGGTGGCTGGTGACAGCACAGAGAGGGTATAACTGGATAAGACATGGGGGATGGAGGATGCTTGGTTGAAAGTTCAGCTATGAGACAGAGCCCCAGATCTTACCCCCAGCTATGTGCAGTAGGCAGTTGCCTCTCCTCAGGAAAGATAAAAAACCAAAAAGCCAGCAGATTATTAAAGTGTGGTCCCAGGCTGGGAGCAGTGTCTCTGGGAACATTTTGGAAATGCAGATTCTTGGCTCTGTCTCAGACTTCTGAGTCAGAAGTCCTGGGCTGGGCCCGGCCATCTGCTGACCAGCCCTGCAGGACGCTCAGGTGCTCAGGCAACTTTGTGAACGGCTGCTCTGGGGAAGGGCTGCAGAGGGTCCCTGGACAGGCCCAGGTCAGGACATAATCCTGGAGCGAGCACAGATGGTGAGGCAGAGGATGCTGACAGACCCTGAGATGCCTCCCGCCCCAAGACCCCTCCATGCACTCTGGAGCGCTGGCAGCGGGTGTGGCCTACATTGCAGGTTCCCAGCGGAACCGCTCAGCCCCATCACTCCATGGGTAAATTCATCATCCCGCTCAAGAGATTTCTGTGTGTCCTGTGGCGCCCACTCATGACAGCGAGACACCCAGGATTGTCAGACACCAGAAAGAAGAAGAAAAGGCCTCTGAGATGGAAAATATAGATCAAAGTAAACAGTAGAAAAATGCAACTTGAAGGCAGTAGACCGTCAGAGCGAAGAAAACCTCCAAAGAATTGTGCTGTGGATGTCCTCAGAGATAAGACAGGACGTTTCAACGAAACAGGAACAAGAATACCTTTAAACAATTCTGAGAACAAAATGAACTTTGAGAAGTTAAAAATATTGAGAGTTAGATGAAAATCTAAATACGAGTTTTATAAGGTAAAATTGAGAAAGTTTATCTGAGAGTAAAGCAAAAAGAAAATGAGATGGAAAACAGGAGGGAAAAGGTAAGAAAATCAGAGGACCAGTCCAGGGGTCCAGGTCTGAGTAGCAGGGCGCCAGGGGAGCAGAAGATGGGGGGGGTCACAAGTGAAGTGCTGGAAGAGCAGCTCTGGGGTGGGAGGAGCTGACGTTCTGGCTTGTGGAAGGTCCACAGAAGGCCCTTTCCTCAGAAGGAAATGGATCCGTACAAATGTACGTCCTTGGGGAACTCGGAATATGAGGACAAAGAGCAGACTGTAAACTCCCAGAGAAGGAAGAATAGGTCATTTGTCAAAGTACGAGGGTCCAAATCAGTTAATACTCTCAGCAGCAGCCTGAGAGTGGAGCGACTTCCTCCAGTGGAGCGACTGCCACTAGGAGTCCCACGGCCACCCCAGCTCCCGGTCAAGTCTGGAGGAAGACTTGCATGCATTTTCAAACGTCCAAGGTCTTAAAAATTTACCTCCCATGTCCCCTTTCTGGGGAAACTGGTGGAGGATGTGGCCCAGTAACACGAGGGAGCAAACCAAGAAAGCAGATGCGGTGCAGAACACCGGAGCTGCAGCCTCGGAGGGGGCGAAGGAAGATCCCAGGACGGCGGGCTTGGGGAGGAGCCAGCACGGGCTGGAACTGGTCAGAGGGTTCTGGGGCTTCCTCAGACAAAACTTGGGGCATCAGATGTCTCCAGAGGAGATGTGGGCCAGAGCTCTTCTCACCTGTATGCTTGGTGTGGGCTGCTGTGGACATTAGTGCCTTTGCCCCAGGGCTGCTGCCCCTGGCTGCACATAGGCGCCTCCTTCCCTGTGTGCCAGACGCATTTCTCGTGTTTTATGTTTGCCACTCCACACACACACACACAAAAACCAGAAATCACCTATGTAGACAACTAGCACAGAGGTGTGACTGTTAGGAGTGAGTGCATTGAAAAAACTGGGCAAGTGGAAAGGCAAGACGTGTAATGGCTCCAGGGAAAACAAAAAGTCACATGAAAAGCAAAAAGTAATCACAGCT